ACAATGATATATTGGGTTTTTGGACTTTATCCATCATCCTGGTTTTTAAGATAACTAAAATAAAAAGATAAAGATAAAGTCCGAAAACCCAATATATCAGTGTTATACACCATCGTCAGAATCCTATAGTAACTAACAGACACACAATATTTTACTCGGTTCCCCACTATTGTCAACTAAAACTGCAGCACTGTTAGTACAGCTCATCTTACTATAAGACGTAACCAGCATAAGGAAATCCATCAGGCTTAGACATCTCGATATTCTTAACTGGAAGGTTGAATTCAGTGACAGTAGTTCTTCATCTGGCTGCTTTGTTTGAAGGACATGTAGCCCTCAGTTGAAACCTGGTCTTTCATGTGTGCACTTATACACTTGTTTCCCAATGGTTATTGTGGTTATATACTCCTGTGTGTGCTAATGGGAAGAAGAAGTGGAGTTAATTATGAAATTAGAGAAAGGTGTTTCTGTGGAATGATAAGTTTTGAGATAGACACATCTACCATATGTATCTTAAACAGAAGTAATTGTTAAGAAGAAACTTACAGAAGTAATTGTTGCTTAAATTTTACACGGAAACTGATGTATCAGAATTAATGTATGGTCAAAACACTTAACTTCGAGCAGTGATTCTTTGTGTGGACAGAATGTTTCTTGATTTGATTTTCATATTTCATCTTACAAAGTAAGTATCCTGCTTTCCTTAAATAGTTACAATAAAGGATGTATCTTGATTATTTGTATTCCCACATCTATTTCTTCCTTGCTGTATGTATTCTCAAGGGAATACATTTTTCATTTAGTGCAACATTTTAGGAACATATAAGCCATCCAAAATTTGGTTTGTGTGTGTATGTTTGCACATACATGATGAGAGAGGTTCTGGACAAAATGTTTGTTATTATTATTATTATTATTATTATTATTCTCTGTCTCCATATGGCTCTTCCTAATATAAACTCCTCTTAATAATGTGTTCCATGCTACAACATATTTTTTATGTGTAATGGAAGAACCTGTTTTAAAATTAATGTGTGTTGTTTAGTGCTCTGATTTGTGGCTTGCACTAGAGAGTAGATTTGTTCATAAATTTAAAACCAGTTTCATTGTAAATTCCTCATATAACATAAATACGAGGAGCGTTACGTATATAATGCCTCCTATTTTTTTATTGAAAACTACAACAGATACAGAAAGCAAAATAATGCAGTTAAATAGAGCAAGATTTCAGCTACTTACAGTAATTTTTCCACATAATCACCACCATTCGTTATGCACTTTTGTCAGCGATTAAAGAGAGCCTGTATGCTGCGCTCTTAAAAGTCTGCGCCAGCAGAGGCAAGCCACTTTCTTACAGCTGCAATGACAGCATCATTGTCTGGAAAATGTTGCCCACATAGTCCATATTTCATAGGCCCAAAGAGATGGAAGTCTGAAGGTGCTAAATCGGGGCTATAAGGTGGATGTGGTAGGACAGTCCAGCCAAACTTTGCAATGTGCGCGGTGGTCACAAACTGGTATGGGGTCTAGCATTATCGTGTTGCAAGTGAAAGGTTGTCTGCTTCTCTGGTCTGACTCGGGAAATGCGGGCTACCAGCTTAGTCAGCGTTGTCTTGTAGTGTTCAGAATTGATAGTCTCACCAGGCTCCAGGAAATCTAACAAAATCACACCCTGCCTATCCAAAAAGACTGTGCACATCACTTTCCCTGCCCATGGCTGTGTCTTTAACTTCTTTTTCTTGGGGAATCTGGATGTTGCCACTCCATGGACTGTCTTTTGGATTCTGGCTCGTAGTGGTGACACCACGTCTCATCTCCGGTGACGATGCTGTCCAGAAACTTGTCACCTTCAGCCTCAGACTGGTGCAACAGGTCCTGACAGACTTCCATTTGATGAGTTTTGTGGTCCTGTGTGAGCATCCTCAGGACCCACCTGGAACAAACTTAGCGATAATCCAGCTTCCCCAACATTGTTTCCAGTGCATTACAGCTGATATTAAGCTGTGCACACAGTTCCCTGGTCATTATCTGCTGATCTGTATGGATGAGCTGATCGAGGCGCTGTTCATTGTGAGGAGTGGCAGCTGAGCAGGGTCGCCCAGAGAGTGGCTTGTTGTGCACTTCACTTTTGCCACTGTTGAAACACACTACCCACCGCCTCACTGTGCTGACATCCACTGTATCGTCTCTGTACA